CTGGCTATAAGGATGCAATATGAGATGGGGTGGGGGGAAAGAGCCAGATAAGGTCAAAAAGCGTGGGGGTGCAGTGCATGCCCTAATTTCACCCTCTGCCCACACAGCAAGATCACCAGCAACCTGGTATGTAGCAAATGATCACAGAGTATAGAATACGTTAAACACTGCTTCCTTATAAAGGACTAGCTGGATTTCTAGTAACAGCCAGTGTCTTTTTCTCTTCTACGCAGTCCTTCCTCTCCTGGCACTGGAGAGCTGCCAGCCTGCAGTAGCTAAGCCCACAAGCAGAAGCAGCCCACACAAATTGCTCATTTGGCAGCTGCTCCATCAAACTCACCAACTCAGTTGCCACAAGACTAGAGCAAATACTAAAAATTTGCACTGTTGTGAGGAAATCAAGGAGGATGGACCTGCTGTTCTCCCAAGTAATTTCTTCTGCAGAAAACCTCTAAGGAGAACAAACTGTTCCCCTGCTGTTAGGGAACAGTCATTTGACTTTCACCGAGCACTAGAGATTGGGTGCAAAATAATGCATGTGGACCAGATAGATCTGGATGTGACTGTAATACTGCTTTGGAGGTCTAGAAAGCACAGCACAGCCATTCCCCAAAAGTGTGAGACGCCAATTCTGCTATTATAGCTAATACTTCCTTTTCTTGCTGATGGGTGAAAAGAGTTTTACCTTCTTCCACCATCCCCTTTTCCAGCCTCCTCTGAGGGACAAACTTACCATTGCAGCTGCTTCCCTACTGTCCAAGAAGCCACAACCACAAGAAATCATGTAGCATCTTCACTCCCTGAGCAAGCACATGGCAAGCTTGCCACTGTTTGTGTCCCATTTATTTGAATCAAGAAGCCCTTACAGCAAATAAACTGCAGCTGGCTGAGATGAAACAAGCTAATAAGGTTTCCCCAGGGAACAGGCAATTCTTATAATGCAAATCTGAAGCTAACTCCTGCTCTCCGATATATTGGTACTTGTCAGAGCGGTTCGATGAAAACAACTGAATGGCAAGTGGTGACACTGTCTCTGGTTACCACAGCTGCATGTTTGGGATTTTTTATCTTTGTTGTCAAAGAACAAGGATTCTCCAGTAAAAAAACATCTCTTAAGATCTGGAATTATTATTTGGGATCTTCAGAAATTAAGATGACCTCTCCTCTCCCATCACACAGGGAATATCACTCAGTAGAGACCTAACATTATCTTTTCTCCCTATACAGGTGCTTCATAAAATCTGAGAGGGTAATACCATAACAGCTACGCCTCAAGAAAACCTGAGATGATGACAAGTAAATTATTTTGTCACGAGTTAGGGCTCTTTTCTTTATTATTCTGAACGTGTCCATTCAAGATTTGCCTGTGACGTCTGGACCAATGTCCACAGCTGGATTTAAGCAGGCTGAAGAGTATGTGAGATTTTTAACACAAATGGCTGAGGGAAAAAAAAGAAAACCAAGCTTCCAAACTTTTCTGCCAGAACTACTTGGGGTTTTTGTTTTGTTTTGTTTTGTTTTGTTTTTTAATTTTTCCATTCACTGATGCTTGTAAAAGCAAAAAAAAAAAAAAGCAAAGGAAAAAGGGAGGTGGCAGTTTGGAGTTCCCACTCACCAGTTAGCACAAATATGTTCATATTTCCTCACATCTGACTTTTTTCTTGAGCCAAAGCTTAAATACTTGGTTACAGGGGCTGGGCACCCAAGGATGCCCCAGTGTCCCCTAGGGAAAAAATAGTAAAGCTAGGCCTTGTTTTATCCAATATTGACTGTTAATTTCTATTGAAAACAACTGTTGTTAATTAAAACAGGACCCGATATCCTACTGTTTTGTAAACAATCTGGTCTACTAGTCAACATGTAGATGATATGCAGATCTGTCTTCCATCAGACCAGATGCTGATCTGTCTTTGCTTTTCCATTGCAAAATTCAGGTCAGGAGTTGGATAAGACTTAAGTGACTGAGTTTAACCCAGACAAGAGTCAGTTGTCATTTGTGGAGAGAGGGAAGAGCTCTGACTGTGCAGAAGGGTGTGTCCTGCCTCGGTACTCAAATTCCCTCTTAGGTTTCTAAGCAATTACAAAATTAGGACAGTGCTTTGTCCCTCTAGATACAGCAGATTAGGATGGGATTGGTTGGGCTGACACGTAGTTTAAGGGAGTGGGGGTTCTCTGAAGTAGCCATTGTTGAAGGAATCATGCCTCTAAAACATATTTGGAGCTGAATAGTCCCAGCAGCTATGGAGAAGAAATCTGGTTTCCTCCTCAGCAGATGTCTGTATGCAATATTTGTAAGAACTCCTTATCACAACAGAGAATGAGTCTTATCTTCCCTCTGAAGTCTCAAAAAACAAGCTCTAGAGCTTCCAGCTTGAAAACAATCTGCTTTCCCAAAAGGCACAATGGAGTTCTGATGTTTTCCTTTAAATATTCATGGTGTTTAAAATTGGACTTTAATCATAGAATTGTCTAGATTGGAAGGGACCTTTAAGATCATCTAGTCCAACTATCAATCCAACTCTGACAAAAAAACCCATCACTAAACTATGTCACTAAGCACTATGTCAACCCATCTTTTAAATACCTCCAGGGATGGTGCCTCAACCACTTCCCTGGGCAGCCCATTCCAATGCTTAATAGCGCTTTCAGTGTAATTTTTTTTCCTAATATCCAATCTGAACATCCCCTGCTGCAACTTGAGGCCATTTCTTCTTGTTCTGTTGCCTGTGACTTGGGAGAACAGACGAGCCCCCACCTCTCTACAACCTTCTTTCAGGTAGTTGTAGAAAGCAATAAGGTCTCCCCTCGGCTTCATTTTCTCCAGGCTGAAAAACCCCAGCTCCCTCAGCTTCTTTTCATAAGACTTATTCTCCAGATCCCTCACCAGCTTGCCCTTCTCTGGACCCGCTCCAGCACCTCAATGTCTTTTTTGTGGTAAGGGGCCCAAAACTGGACACAGTACTCAAGGTGGGGCCTCACCAGTGCCGAGTACAGGGGGACAATCACCTCTCGGGCTCTACTCGCCACACTGTTCTTGATACAGGCCAGGATGCTGTTGGCCTTCTTGGCCACCTGGGCACACTGCTGGCTCATGTTCAACTGACAGTTGACCCCCAGGTCCTTTTCTGCCAGGCAGCTCTCCAGCCACTCTGCCCCCAGCCTGTAGCGCTGCACAGGGTTGTTGTGACCCAAGTGCAGGACCCGGCACTTGGTCTTGCTGAACCTCATCCCATTGGCCTCGGCCCATCGATCCAGCCTGTCCAGATCCCTCTGCAAAGCCTCTCTACCTTTCAGCAGGTTGACACTCCTACCCACCTTGGTGTCATCTGCAAACTTACTGAGGTTGCACTGAACTTCCTTGTCCAGATCATTGATAAAGACTTTAAAGAGAACTGACCCCAATACCGAACCCTGTGGGACACCACTCATGACCGGCCACCAGCTGGATTTAACTCCATTCATCACCATTCTTTGGGCCCAGCACTCCAGCCAGTTTTTAACCCAGTGGAGAATACTCCCATCCAAGTCATGGACAGCCAGTTTCTCCAGGAGAATACTGGAGAATACTTGCATGGATTCCTTTTAGGGTTGTGGTGTTGTTGTTTAGTTAAAATTATCATATTAGCAAAAGTAAAGAACATCCTTAAATGGCATAGTGATTATTCCATGGAAAGGAACCCCTTTTTGCTTTTTTACAAATTTCATAGGTAAGGGGACCTCATTCTTCCAAAAGGCAAGGCTGTTTTTTTCATGTATGCAGATCTAGTACTGATTTCCTCACCTTTTTATGTGACATCCCAACGCTTATCTACTACTAAATTAAGCAATTTTATGATGACAATTGATGTCATTACCTCTATTACAAAGTAAGAGAAAAGGAAGGTACAGGCAGCTATAATGACTCCATCCAGTATCATCCAAGAGGCTGATGGAAAAGCTGGAGAAAGAATCTGCTTTTCTGAGTTCCAGGTCAATGCCCTGTCAGTGGGCCCCCAGTAACTGTATATATATTAACTCTATGTAAACATTCATACAGCCTTAGCAGAATTGCATAGTTCTTCACTGCTTCATTCAGCTATTGCCTTCCCTATAACATCCAAACTAAACCCAAATAGCAGACTAGAAAAGAACAAGCTATAATGAGGGAGACAGGGGAGATTGGGGTGGGGAGGGGAGCATCTGAATGCTTCATTTTTTAAAAGACTCCAGTTCCTTTAAATATCTGTGAATTTCAATATCAGAACCAAAGAAATCTTTTGGGAGGTGTTTCCTTTCTCCACTTCCAGCAGCTGCTGAACTTGTGCCAAATACCGGAGGAGAGAATAAAACAAAAAAGAGAAAGGGCATCATCACCAGCTCTTAAGCAAGCAGCTCCTATGCAAACCAGTAGCCCCAAACCATTTCATATGTCACTGTCACACACTTGAATACAAATACGTCACAACTATGTATCAGCAACTGATATATTAGCAACTGATGCCTGATAACACCACAGGTAGCTTTCTCTATGTCGTATGTACTAATCTGTCAGGGTAGGGTGGTAGGCATTCCTAGGCACCTTAAACAATCCAGGCATTGTTGTGTTTACTATTACCAGGTATTTGCTTAGTGGAGCAGAAAAATATGCCACCTGTGACTGCAAATGTTTTTGCTTTAAGGTTTCATGACCTGAAATTTTTGTTAATGTGAAAGGAAACAAAGGAGAGAGAAATGAAAAAGTGAGAAAAGAATGTAGTTTTGTTTCTTGGGATATTTTATATATATCTGTATTTGTATTATCAGAGAACACATATATAATTTTACCTTTAGGCATTTATGCATGTCTATTTTTTCTATTAGTCTATATAATTATTTAGCTGATCTCCTGTTTAATACAGAAAAAAAGAATTCCAAATTTGGGAGGGAGAAATTATATATATATGTATAATGGAACATAATTTCAGAGCAAATCTACAAACTCAAAGTTTTCTCTTAAATAGTTTTTCATGTTTAAATCTTACCTCTGCTCCATCTGTTGGTCACAGTGGCATGAGCACTGTAATAGAACAGCAGCAGCGGCAAAGTCTTCCAAAACATCCTTCTCTTTAAAATAAGTATGTCTAGCTGTATACTAGCTTTTCTATTTCCTACCTCCTTTCTTTTCAGGAATAAATAAATGGCTTTTCCTCTCCCCCCTCCCCCTTTGAAGGAGAACCTGTCTGTTCTTCTGAGTACAGCTGAAGTCAGTGTGCAGCTCCTCTCCCAAACCAAGTCTCCTCGGGATCAGGAAACTTACTTTCACAGAGAGACTTAGTTTTTATCCACATCTGGAATGACTCATGGTGCATGTGAGTTTGCTGGCAGCCGTGTGAATAAATATCATTACATTTTTGTAGTTGAGTTTCATTTGTTATATGGGCCAATTGGAATTTATTTTTGTCCAATAAACAGCCACAAGTAACTTCATTAAAAGACATGCTTGAATCCCAGCTCTGTAGCTACTCCTCTGCAATGCGGTGGACTATACGCTAACCCATGTCTAAGGCAAAAGCCTCCTCTGGAATGATGTACAGCTGCCCTTGGACACATAAGTCAGGGAGTGGGGCATGTGCTCTGAAAGAACATTTTGCTACTGTGATTCATATAATCACTCCTTTATTAAGAACATATAATGCGGCGCTTAGACTTCAGTTCTCCTGGCCTTTTCCTCCGTTTGGCCAGGGAAAAGAACAGGAATGTCCAAATCCTTCACTGGCTCTCTTCAGTGGTATTAAGGGGAACACTAAGCAATCCTAAAGATAATCTACAGTTGCCAGGCTGAATGTGGAGAGGTGACGCTAAATAAAAAGGGTACTACTTGGCATCTGCTTTCTGACACTGGCCCCAGGGAAGACAACACTGGAAACATTTATCCCAGAGCAAACCAACATGGAGAAAGCTGCAGGTATGTACTGTCCCTGACACAGCTTCAGGACAAGGCTGGGGACCACTGGGGGATGCTTTGTGGGAATACAGCACTAGAATAACAGCAAGTTGCTGTGAGTTGGAACAGAATGATGAAAAATAGGAACAGAATGAATATTTAAGCAGAATCAAGGGATAGGACATACTCCATTTGGTGCCTAGAGGTGATCTGTCTAATTTTCTTCTTTCATAGCCAGGAACAAATCCACAGACATCCCTGAATTTACACTGGTGTAAAATTTGGCACATAAGAAAGGATACTCCAGGTCAGAAGGTATAAATAGAAGAATTAAGAGAAAGGACCAAGAGCTGGAATGAGCGAGGGCACTGTGGCTCAGAATTAATGGGCACTGGCAGGAAGGCATGGAGAAAACCTGTTCAGCTCCTGTCTGCCTCATGCCAAAGTCTGGCCTTAGCCTCAGTCCCCTCATTCTTTTCTGTCCCAGCTTCAACTGGGACCAGCTGTAAAGGAAGGAGGAGGGTCAAATAAGGTTGTCTTGCTTAAGGCAACTCCACTTCTTTTCCTACACGTACAGATTTTCCTGTGCTCATACTGCCTCAGGTTACTCCCACATGAACAGCACATGAATGTAAGACAGTATTTTACATGCCAAGGAGATGACAGAAGATATAATTCAAACAGAGAGTGGCTAACTATATACTCTTCTTGTTACCATAACATATTAGGGCTTGGTCTGAATGCAAGGTTAAAGCGAAGAGTGGACTCATTCATATGTATCTGTCTGGAAATTATGGAGCTGGAGTAAACTATTTTTACATTCCCTAGAGAAGGGAAGAGAGAAAGATAGATGCCACAAGAAGATCATTATTCCTACTTAGCTCAGAGAAGTCACTTAGAACAGGATGAGTCGCTCTCTGGAGGAGGTAGATCCAGTCATCAGCATGGCAATTGTGAGATGGGCATCAAGATGATTTGCATCAAGAAGATGTAAGTTGCACCATAGTAAGGGAGCAATGATCTGTAAACCACTGAGGAAAAAAACAACGTGGTATAACTGCTGCTGGAGAAACTTCAACCAGTAGGTATGGCTTGAGGAAGTACATTTTAATTTAGTAAACCACCTTAGTGAAAGCCCTCTAGCAAGTGAACACAGTGAGTATAGATGACTTCATTAACTTAAATGTATCAGCCTAGCTACCCTGGCATGACAATCTTAATGTCAGCAGGGTCTGTGAACAAGTTGTTTCTGAGGTAGACAAAGCAGACACAGCACTTAAGATGTGAATTCTAGGAAAAAAGAAAGAAAAATGTGAGAAAACTTAAAATCCTGTGGGATAACAAAGGAACACATTTTCAGTGGTGGAAGCTCTTCTGAGATGCAGTATAATTTCATTGTTTACATCTAAAGAAATAGCAGCTGATAAGAGAGAATGAAGGAGGCTCTGTCTCCCTGTGAACCATAATTGGAACTATTGTGCAGAGAGTTCCCTGCAGGATGGCTCTGCCTCCTGGCTACCAGCAACAGGATGCTCATTCATTTTCACTGCATTATATATCCAACCTAGAAAGGGAAAATAGAAGAACGCCAGGAACTTCCTTCTCTAATCTTCCCCTCCACCTCCAGCCTCTGGAGCAAGCACTCTGGGAGCAACAGAGGAGCAGCAGCTGAGATACAGAAAAGATGTGTGATAAGACTGGCACACAGGTCAAAGGGATGTGAGAGCATGAGACGATTACTGACCTCTCCATTTCCAAACCCTGGAGATGTTGCTGTGAAGCTACGTCATATGTGATTTTTTTAATTATTATTTATATCTCCTTGATTTGACTCTGACTACAGAATCCTCTCTAGCAGCCTTTTCCTTATCTGAGCTCAAATACAAACTCTCCCCATCTGTGTTTCAAGGCCGCACAGTGCAGTCTTCAGACGTTTCGGCTTTGACCTAGTCTCTGTGTGCACCACAACTGCAGGGCGGATTTGACTTTAAGATGTGAATGATGCACCCACATCTGTTTTCTTACAGGAAATGCAGCTGTAAATATAACAGGTCCATGTGTAATAAATAATGTTTTCCCTTTGGCATCTCCACAAGAAATGTAAACGCCTCTTTTCCCCCTTAAAATTGTAGATCTTTTCCTCTTCCATATGGATGTATATACACAGAAAGTCATATCCTCCCTATTAAAAAGCCCTCCAGATGATTCCAGGAAATAAATCTTTCAAACATGCTCAGGGCACTTCAACTATAGAGCTTCTATTCATCTCATGACTATATTTTAGTAGATAGTTGCTCAGTTTCAGCTCAAGGCAGTTTCTGCCTATGCTAGAGGTCTGAATCACTGCAACTATAATGAATGCTGAAGCTGGGTAGAAATTTTCACTATTTCTATATATAAAATGCTTCTAGATTCCTTTGGAAGTATCAAGAAGAGGAGCTCAATGGTGAAGAATTCATCCTGAAGATGAATCTGGTGAGAGAGGGTACCATGGTGCTGAAGCAGGGAGTCAGAGCTGGTCGACAGGCTGGTCGATATTCAGGTCCTAAATCAGTGTAGCGCTAGACACTGTCACAGTTATGTTTTGCCAATTCTCATAAATTTAGATGTTGGAGCTGCAAGTCCTCCAGTGCTCCCAGTATCTGCAAGACCTTTCAAGCACAGGAAAGGTGTGACCAACTGCTGCCTCTGGCAGGCTGTTTGAGGTGAAAATGGACATTTATGCAACTCTCAGCAATGTGACTAGATACCAAGGGAGCAGATTTTCCACTTGATTATTCCATCCTGATGCTGTAAGTGAGTGTCTGCACACGCTGCTATGCCCACACAGTATTTTTAAGAAACTTGGAAATAGGGCAGGGAGGAATGAAGTGAGTGGAGATTGAACAGGGAAGCTGCCAGGTTCCTTTTTGTGGGCCATGCACAGTGAGAGCAGAGAGCTGGTACTCCAAAGCTGTCCTTCCTTCCCATCATCATAGGTGCTATCGTGGTGAAAGGACAACTTCAGGGAGTGTAGAAACCCTGTATTTCCCAGGGGGTGCTCTGAGCAACCAGTGCTTCAGGTGAGGTGCTTCTATGCCCTCTTTAGTAGCTCATTGTGGGAAATAAGTTGCAATCTAAAAAGGGAATAGAAGGGGAAACAAGGCAATGGGTGATCCAAGATCAGCAGACTGTGGGTCTTCCAAGAAAAATAGTATCTTTTTCACTGGAGAATACCAGCTCATGAGGCCAGTTCAGCTTTGGCTTTGATGAGCTTCTGCCAAACCCGAGGCGGGGTTTCAGTCTGCCCTGACACCTCAGTTGCTGTGAGATTCCCTTGCAAATCTTCTATCAGAGAGACAGATATTTTTAGTTTCACCCTGTTTCAATTTGAAAATGGAGTGTGTGGGCAGGGAGGAAGATCCTCTGAAGCAGAAACTCTGTTCTGCAGCCAGAGCCCTGCCCTGCTCCATAGACCATGCGACATCTGCCTGCTGGTGTGGCAGCACAGTGGAACAATATTGATGCATGACACAGACATTGGTCTCCTTCCCACCATAGAAATGGATAAATGGCGACATAGACAAAAAGTGACTCACTGAATGAATTGATGGTAGAGCTGGGGCTAGAAACCAAGAGCTGATCCAGTCCTCTGCCCAAAATATAAGCCCCCAGCCTGCTGCACTGCAGCAACTCCCAATTCTGTGATACAGCACCCGTCCCACCAACAAAAAAAAGTAAGTAGCTTCCACAAGAGGCCAAGCAATATTTTCATAACTAGCACCACAAAGAGAGAAAAAAATAGCTGTACACAAGCTCCCAGGAGAAGAAAAGAAGTTCTTTCGAAACTGGACACTGGCATTTGAACCTCATTATCCATAGTAACTCTTGCTGGCCCCTCAGCTGAGGTTGCAGCTTTCTGCAGCAGCAGTTTGGATGGCAGAATCTCACCAAGCCTCAAAGCAGTGGCAGGCAGGATGAAACTTACATATCCACACTGTGGATATGTAATAATAGAGTTGTAAGTTAGAAGGGTCTTTGAGGCATCTTGTTCTCCTGCCCCAGAGCTCCCTTGTTATCTCTATCTCGCTGCCAGAGCTCACATTCACAAAAGCACTTAGGTGCTGAGCTGATACTTTACAGATCCACATTTAAATAACCAAAATTTAAATTCTGCCCATGCAGCTTTGCAGATATCTGAATTCCTTGTGTGTCTAAGCTTCTCTCGTGAGGCTCCATAAATGCTTGTATCACTGTGTCTACCTTGAAACCATTTCATATTTCAAACAAAATATCGAGACTTGCCTTAATAATTACAAAAATGTATGACTTCAGATGCCCCTTCTCAGGTCCCATGTTGCACTTTTCAGTTTTTT